TTTCTGGAAAATTCCAATAGCGGGACTGAGGACAAGAGGTTAAACGTCAGCCGACAAACAAAGTCGCTCTCATTCGAACGTATCTTACCTATCAAGCACTTCTTTCAAACTCGTCGCCAACTTCACAGAATAACCCCAATACTTTCCCGTTTTTTCTCGTACTTTTCGTGCACTGGAGAGCTTGCCGCGATATCGTTTGGAATCTCAAATAAGATAAAAATAAGCTTATGATGTAAAAAAGGACCGATTTTCTCAACAAAGAACCCACTTTCGCCCAAATTAGTAATCTCAACCGTTACACGAGTGGCGGCAGGTAGTTGAATCTTGTCCTCCAGTTCCAGCTCCTTTAAAAATTAGTTTTCATGCAGTAGCGAAATGACAGGAACATACGTGCAAGACACAGAAACATACTAACATTAGCAACAATAGATCAACAGTATATCCCAGTCAACACGATCTGATAATGAGACCATTAACTGACATTTATCACACCACTTTTGATAACAACCACTTTACAAAAGCCAGTGGCTGAATTGCCATACACAGCGTTGCGTCAAAAATTGGATTACCTTTTCAAGGCCAACATCGCAAAGTGAGCCTCTATCAGGTTTGGTTGGTTTGTCTAAAACCACACCTTCCCTGAATGGAATAGAAACATCGTCACTCCGCAGATGATGTTGAGCATCAAGAGGATTAAGCAAACCTTAAAAAAATTCAATAAAAATTTTGACGAACGCTAAACATCATCAGCACGCTGTAAGTCATGTTCAAGTAAAAACCACTGAAGAAAGGAGAATTCTGTGGACAGCGCAAAGCGTAACGAACTGAAAAGCACTCACGGGACAAGCAAGGAACATGAAAGCTGAAGCTTCGACTAGCTCGTACGAGTTGATCGATTGTGTTCATGATTAGGACATGGTCTTATTAGGTTGTCCCAAAAGTTCGTGCATATTTTTCTCGGATCACTCGCCAGAACTTTCATTGGCGATTTTCAATATGTTTACAAGGCTGTAGAGGAGACTACGTGTAGCAACTTACTGCCGATTTAGGGCCACCGAAGCTGCTTTGAGCGAAATCTATTGGGTTGGTCCAAAAGTCTTGCCAACAAAGTGCATTTAATTCTTAGAAATTTTTGTGTAGAACTCCCAAAATACCCGCTACAATTGTTATGACGAGCACTCACCCTTGCAGATTTCAGCTCCGTCCACCTAGTCGTTCCGCATCTTGTTGCTGCAAGCTATTATACACCCAAGTTCGCGAAAAAACGCCTTAGTGCCCCTAATTTTTGCGGAGTACTTGCTTGAACGATTACGGCAATCATGCTACACCAAGGATAAGCCAGAACATGGGCGAGGGCACGCTCCTCTCGATTCACGGTGCAACGGCGCTTCACTCTGCTCAGCGTTGACTTTTTATTTGAAGGATGATCCACACTCCAACCACCCCGTGACTGACAATCACGATGCTCTATCTGACGCCGTTGAAAAGGGATCTGGATAGAGTATCGATCATTTGCTAGAGCGATTCCGATGCGACAAGGAGACAGCACTGTGGCATCTCCAAAGACTTGTGAAGATCCGAAAATATAGAGTTTGGTCCCCACGTGCCTTGAGCCCGATTCAGCTCCAAACACGATCTGACACCGTTATGTTCAAGTCGACTTACTAGGGATTCTACGATTGACCATCCATCACATTTGCCGAAGATGAGGAGTGAGTACAGTTTACTAACAAATGAACAAGCGGCGGTAGTCCAGCTCAAAACGCTTCGGGAGATCTTATTGCTTAAGTTCAATCCTCGTCCAAGTAGGGCCTTCTCGGATTTTTGGTGGAACACGAGAGGAGTTAAGCTCTGGAAACCCCTACGTGTAGATGTCGCAGTCAACGCGAAAGTCAACTATCCACAGCTCGAATGCAACGCTTTTAATACGAAAGAAAAACAAGGCAAAGTTTGCTTTGTATGACACCGTTGAACCACCTCTTGCTAAGAAAATTCAAAATTTTGAGACTCTCGGACAGATTTTTCCCTTAATTACCTTATAGCCCTGACCTCGTGCTACCAGATGCCCACCTGCTTCCCTTCCGAGATCACTTTCTAGAGGGAAAAATTCATTCCAACCATCATGATGTCAAAATCGACACCCAATCTTTTTTCGATCAGCATTCAACGGAGTCCTACAAGAGAGGCATCGAACAAGTTTCTGTGCGTGTGGCAATAGTTTGCTAGACCATTTATGGCATGTATTGCACGGCTAGATGAATAGAACAAAAAAATAATAAAATATTAAAATCAAAATTTAGTCAGCTAGTTGCAAGACTCATGGACAAACCTAATAGAATGAGAAGGGAAGATTGTCAGGCATTTCTTCATAATTTTCTAATTGAACCACAATGCGGTCGAAGCCAAACGCCACATGTGATCAAGATTCTTTCCAAAAGAACACGTAAAGACCTTGAAAAACTCTTGTTTCACCTGCCACGGTGTCGGAATGGAGTAGCTGTGCTCTCACGATAACCGATCCGTGCGAGAGAACCTGCTATGTGGCCATCACGCCCTGATTTTTCAGGATGCGCACATAGAGGTTTTAGTTCCCACGATAAAAGGTTGGAGCTCTACCAAAATTTTCTCATAATGGACCACTGAGTAACAAGAATACGACACAAGTGCAGAATACAAGTTGTTTCCCAAAAATTGAGCACACTATGTAAACCTCGCGCAGAAAGACAAGTGATTGAAACGACCAGAAAGCTGAAAATCAACAAATTCAGGAAGGGGTTATGTTACCCGTCTGCGGTGTATTCACGAATTAGAAGAAGAAACTTCTCCCACGCTACGGCACTGAAACTAGTCAGGTTCGGAGAGAGTACTGGATGTTGAAGTCTAGTATGGAAGTTCTGCCACATCCACTGTGAGTTGAATATCAGCGTCCTTTCAGACTTCCCAACGCAATATCGGTCACTAGCCATTCTGACGACAAAAAAAGGATCACAAGGCGGGCCCCGAAATGACCTCAGTACCTTCCTCATCACGAAACCGCCACGTCTGATGCAGACCCCTCGGTTTCAACGGATGGCAAAAAGTCAATTCACAGTTAATGGAGTGTATAGAAATTGAATGATGAATATTGCTTACGGTTTATATGAGGCTAAGTGGAAAAATTTGAAAAAAGCACTCGAACTTTTGGAATAACATTGCTCTTTGCGATCATCTTAAGTTCGAGTGTGGACGATAACGCATTGTGTGTGATCTTGCGACCGCGCGTATCCGCTCCACACTCGAACTGCAGACGAAATGCATGGCAGTCGCGAAGTATAACCGCACCCTGTGTCACACTATGCCGTGTAAAATTGATAATTAAGTGAAAACAGGAAGAAAACATTCAGGAGGAAAAGTAGCCAACCTGCATACTTCAACGGTTTTTGGAATGGGAATAGGTATTTCCTCAAATACTGCGGACACTCAACATATTCCAATATTCGTGCCAAATGGAAGCATGCTTCAAAATTCGAATCAGAAGGTGCTATATCCCCTCTCCACTTTCCAGACCAGTACGCATCAACATTTCTGAAGAAAACGGAAATTATTACCACAGTTAACCGACTTCAATAAAAAAAAGAGGAAAGGAACTTACTCCTGAGTCATTTTACATGTTTCATCATAAATGATCACATCATCCACACAAAATAGTGTAGCAGCGCGCGCAATCTAATCCAAAAGCTGAACTCAGTTATCTGGCACATGAAGTTTCTGCAACTATTAGTACCTGGCCAGACATGTAGGTGCGTAATTCGGAGCTTTGCCCATTATTAAGAAATGAACCAGGAACAGCTATCGATATTGAAAATTTGCTTCCTAAACAACAATTTTCACTGTAAGAAACACATGATCTCAGATATGTCCTCATCAGGTTTCAGTTTAGAGCGACCTTAATTTTGAACACTGACAGAATGGACATGAAAAAGGACTCGCAGGTACGTACGAAAGTCGCGTGATTTGTGGAGGCCTCATATCATATTCAACTAACACACAGGTTTCTTTTGTGTTTCTGACAAAACTACAATTCAAGGGTCTATATTTATTTATTTATTTATTTATTTATTTTCATACGTCCAGTGGACGCGCTCATAAGGTATACGCTATATCGCTAAGGATGGATAATGACGATTGGTGCAAGGGTCGCACCGCCTCTCGTAATCCCAACTCCCACAGCAACGAATTTCTGAGGTATGTAAGAAAGTGAAGGCGAAATGGTACCGCACTTCAGAACTTCATCCTCAAGCTACAAACAAAAGTTCATTGTAGGCGGCATAATTGCCCCTCGAGGGTCGAATTGTAGTTCTTTGGAACAGTACCACGAATTCGCTCTTCTATAACGCTGACGGGCACCTTTATGCGATTGGGAGCGCGTGAGATCCCTAAGCTCTTTCAGTCCTTGTTTTTGTGCACAGTGAGGTTGAGACGGAACCACTTTTGACTGTTGCGACACATTATGGTGTAGAATGGAGGAGTGACTCTGTGATCTGTGACTCTCTTTAGTCTACACCATAAAGGAGTCACATTCAGAAGCGGTTTCCGTCTAACCTCACTGGTGCACAAAAACAAAAACTGAAAGAGCTTAGGGTCGAGTCATACTTTTGCAGTTTGGCTTGCAGTTCAAGGTGGAATAGAAATGTACAGACCATACGATCGTACGTATCTACTTCACGATCGCAAAATCGCAAGACCGCAAACATGACCCCACCTGAAGTCGCGTTCATAGCTCGCGACTTGGAAGATCAAGACAGTAGGCTACAGAATATAAAGGTTGTAGTAGAGTGCGATACGCCGCTGAAAAAGACAAGTATCGACCAAAATCGCGACTACATTAGAATCGATCTATCCACCCCTCCACGATTTCAATCGATAGCGTATCTGATTCCTTTCGGCGGAATCCTACTCTACTACCTACCATAACCTTTCAAGTCCTATGAACGTACTATCTATCCTACCCTCCCATGTAGCAAACTATAAACGCGGGCCTCAAGGTGGGGTCATACTTTGAAGCTCTGTCTGCAGTTCGAGTGTAGAACAGACACGTATCGACGGGCCGATAGCGAATTTCATGGGACCGCACAATCATTACGTTTCTGTTTGCAAAGCTGTTCGAGCCGCAAACAGAGCCGCAAAGTATTACCCAACCATCAGCGACATGAATTCCCAAATTAGATGGTGGAAGTCGTTTACTGCTAGGCGCAATGTTTGAACGTCCGACTTATTCAGTATTCGAAGACTTGCTTCATACCTTCCTTTCTTAAATGTTGACCTGTTTCAGCACTTTTAGCAAGTTGCTTTAATTCCTCATGCGCAGCCAGCAACGCCTTTTCACGTTTCTCCGCAGTACGTAGTTTATCTGAAAAAAGGAAACATTTCGATTCAATTGCTTGCAAAATGAGGCTATGATTCAACCAGCCATTGCAAAAATATGACGTTATGCGAGCCCAGCAGAACACCCAACGAAGGAGACACTTACGCTCTTTCCATATTTTGCTTGACGATTTCTTCTTGAGCAACTTCTCTCCTAATTTCCGACTTTTTCGTTTGAACTCGATATCCGTGCCATGTCACCTACGGTTCCTGGGAATTCTGGATGAAGTAACATGAAGGCTATACTATACAAAAAACGGTTTAGCATGCAAGATGGGCAAGATGGATGAGAAATGGAAGGGAACCACGACGAACTACATGTACAAAAAAATAGCACATCATTTGTACTTGCTGATGCTACGTAAAAATTTGGCGGCGTCTTTGAAACGGCGGTCGCGTCGCGGCTGCGCCACTGGAGCACTCCAATCGTACAGCAGCATTGTCTCGCCATTACACTGACCATAATGTTGTGTTATGTTTATTACATGACCAGTGTGTACAATTAAGCAGTAGGCGGAAGAATACAAAGGATGAAGGAACACAGCGGAACTACCCAGCCTTATCCAAACGGCAAACCATTCCGTCATTGGCACGACTATTCCTACCAGTACTACCGTTCTTTGTTCCGTGCAGTTTAGGTGCTCTCTTCGTTGTCAATATCGAATGTATTTTTTGATTGGGTATAACTATAACTATACCGATAACTGGGTACATTTCCTCTTCTTCGACATCCCACCTTATCGTGGAATCTCCCTTGACTGTATGTATGCATTTTGACATGATTACGACCAGAGCTTTCGATCGCTGTGATAAAATACTGCCTATCCAACGTAGAATTAATTCTACAATATTCAATCAAGGTATGTTTTTTGTTTTGTACACAACTGGAAATGGGCCCAAGTTAGGAATAATCGCTAATCGAAAATCCAAGGTAAATCCAAAATGAAAGCAATGACAAACATTTTTGTTTTCATACTAACTACTTACTCAGTTCTTTTGTTGCACAAGCATATTGTGCGCCCACTCAGGAGCTTCCTGTAGCTGTAAAAAATTGCATTACCGTTGCCAGGAGAGACACTGGTACCGCCACACCGCGACTCCTCCCCTCCCTCTCAAAGGCCGATGTCAGACTTTGCGAATCGCGCGATTCGCTACTAGCGATTCGCGCGATTCGCTAGCGTCCGCGGTCGCGTTGCGGTACCAGCCAATTGAGTGATTCACTGGCCGCGACGCGACCGCAGACGCTAGCGAATCGCGCGATTCGCAAAGTCTGACATCGGCCAAGGGGCGATTCCACAATAAGGACGGAGGTCGAATAAGGTCATGTGTACGTTTACGCCCCTTGTGTAGGAAGGATTATTTCTCAATATGTGAAGTGTACAAACCTTTTCTGCCGGAAGGTGAAGTCGGCGTTCGTCGCTCTGCTTGTGATGGTTCAGTAACGGTTGCTCTGAGAGATAGGACGTTAACCGCACGCAGTTTAACACATTGCAGCCCGCGTGCATCGCCGGGTATGCACGCAGAAACTCCCACATCTGACATTTGTGCATCGCCGGGTATGCACATCTGTATTTTGCTCCCCCATGAACCTTTTCAGTACTTCTTTGACTAATTGACTTCTGTTAGTCTCATGAATCCGTAAGAACATGTGGCATGTCGGACAACTTCAATTTCAAAGAAACAATCAGGCCTGGACGCTTAAAGGCGACCTTGTTGGGCTTCTTCCTTCCAAAACATAGCGACACACTCGCGGGATGTTCCACGAGTTTGTCTATCTGATCCAGGACCAGCTGCAGCAAACTCCGGCCAGGGGATGGATCCCAGAACTCTGCGTCTCTACTCCGGTCGATGACCCAGTCCTCGTGATCGAGAATAGGGGGATGCGTTCAGAGATGCTGAGTTTTGGGGACCCATCCCCTCGCCGGGGCTTGCTATACTCGGCCCCCGCATTGAAATAATGGCCACTCTCAAAAGCGCCTACAGAAAACATGCTGATGGACAGGAAACACGATCTAAGAAAACGCTTACAACATTCAAAAGAACAGGAGAGGCATAACGAACTCAAGAACTAATGTCAATCCGTAGCGCCCTTAGCGGGGTAAGTGATTGGCGTTGTTAAAGGAAAAAGATTAGGAAGTTGCGTGGATTTCACACCAAGTTGCTGCAAATTTTCAAAAATGGGGCTACGATAGTGACGGTGTTCAAAAAGGTTCCCAAAAATACGTATGAAACAAGGCTACACACTTATTGAACTCATAAAGACGTGATAACAAGCAAAATGAGAAAAGAACCATGCTTTGTTCAGAAAAACGAAAGCTCTCGCGCCCAATCCAATGGATCGGCCGGTGGGTCCCGCAACGAAAACCCACAAAATGTCCCACATATGAGATTTGTGCATCGCCGAGTATGCACGCACGCAATGCGGCGAATGACACATGTGTGACATGAGCCAAAATCGGCGCGGGCGTCAATGTGTTAACACGTACCACCTCGAGATACTCGTGGATTCGACCACTTGGTAGAACCTCAAACATGGTAATTAAACTTTATTTCAAACTTCTGAAGCGAAAAAAACATCAAATATATTCACGCTGGCAATACTCACGATGAAAACAAGATCCTAACTCATCAATTTATACGTTAGGGAATATGCAACACAATTAAGAGCGAGATGCAAGAGAATTCAAAGTTCATACTTCTTCAAATTGAGTAAAAAGAGGGTACGACTGCCTGAGATCTTACTCTTATTATCGAAAGACAACAACGAGATTCGGAGACAACAAGGCAGTTCAAAAGATCCGACATAATAGGAAAAGACTTCGGAGGTAACAAGTAACAACGACATGGCAATAGATAACAACGATGTGAGAACTGAATCGAATAACTATCAATCAGAAAAAGAATAGCAAAATAGAGCGGCATACCGAAATAGCAAGAAATGACATCGTGACAGGAATACCGTGGCGAGAGATGACATGGCGACAAAATTACTGTAACGAAAATGACATGGCGAATGATAGGATAACAAACAATCATATCCGCAAAGGAGGCGACGTGAGAACGAGAGTCATAGAAACGAAATCGCAAGGAAAAGAGCAAAGCAAACTCAAGGAAGATAGGGGAGGGGGCCGAGGGCTGACGGTATGAAGAACGGTGGCTACTGTAAGGCTGTCCTTATATGGCTGTGTTTTGGCGCAGTGTTGCCATCAATTTCCCTGTCAAGGAATAGATCCGATCTATGTGCATTATATGATCTTCCCGGGGGTGCTTCAGCACAGTGCGGCCCCTTGAAGAATTCCCATTGACGTATAATCTCGGTGCAGCGTAGCTTCTCCTCTGGAAGTTCACAAACGGCACTGTTGTGTGATTCTG